AATGTACTAAATTAATGTTTTATAGTTTGGGTGCTGATTCTTAGATACCAATTCTAGTATAAGGAAGACTGACACAAAGCCATCTGCTTGGCAAACTGGGGAATATGGGTACCATCCTTGGATTTCCTACAGCTTTGCTTTCAAAAGGGTCTCGCTGAGTTGCTCAGGGCCTATATTGCTGAGGCTGGCTTTGAATTTATGATCCTCCTGCCTCAGGCTCCCCATCTGCTGGGATTACAGTCATGCGCCACGGTGCCCAGGAAGTCACAGTATTGAACTCAGGGACACTGGACCACTGAGCCACATCCCTAGCCTTAATTTGTATTTTGTTTAGAGACAGGGTCTCACTGAATGCTTAGTGCCTCACTGTTGCTGAGGCTGGCTTTGAACTTGTGATCCTCCTGTCTCAGCCTCCCAAGCCACTGGGATTACAGGCATGCACCATGGTGCCTGGTTAAGCCACAGTCTTTATAAGTAAGAGAACATTTATGCTCAGGACAAAGTGAATGTGCTTGTGCCACAGTCTTTATAAGTAAGAGAACATTTATGCTCAGGACAAAGTGAATGTGCTTGCATTGCCATAAGCACTATCACCATAGCCATTATTTCCCTGGGCTGTGGCCAATAATGAAGGTAGGTAGAGAGTTTCCCATGGACCAATAAACAAGGAATCCTCATCTCAATCAGAGAGCAGAGCCACAGCCTAGCTGCTGCTCACATTCTGGGATTTTCTGCTCTTTTCTAGCACACCCCCTCATCCAGAGGAAAGCTACATGTCAGCTCCACAACTGGGCATGGGTGTGTCCACCACCATCATCTCTTGGCTAGATTATTATAGTTGGTTTCTAATGGCTTCCCTGCTTGCCCTCCACCCCCAGTCCACTCTGATACAGCAGGCAGAGTGCTTCTTCTAGAATGTAGGTCACACTTTCATCCATACCCCTCATCTCATTCTGAGAAAAAGCCATAGTCCTTACAGCAGCCTACAAAACCCCTCTACATGATCCCACCCTCTACTGCCTCCCTAGTCTCATCTCCTAACTCTCCCTGCTGCTCACTCCACTCCAGCCATGTGGGCCTCTTGCTACTCCCCCACTGCCACTCAGGGCCTTTGCACTTACAGTTTCCCCTCCCTGCAACACCCTTCTCAAGGTAGACTCATGGTTTGCTACCTCATTTCTTTCAAATCTCACCTTACCAGGGAGCCCTTCAACAACCACCCTGCATAAAATAAGTCTCCCCCACGGGCACTCTCCAGCTCCCTCACCTTCATGGTTTTCTTTAACACTTAGCATCAGACTTACACATGCTCAGTTGTTTATTTTCTGTTTCCTGTCACTCTACAGGCCCATAAGGGCAAGGATTTTGCCTGTTTGTTCTCTGTTCTATCCCTGTGTCTAGAACAGTTTTAGGTACACAGTAGGGGCCTAATAAGTGCTTTTTTTCTTCCTTTTTTTCTTGTGTTAAGGATCAAACCCAGGTCCTCATACATGCTGGGCAAGCACTCTGCCACTGAGCCACATCCCCAGCCAGTGAATCAGGACTGACTCTCTTGCTGCACAGCAACCACCTGCTGTCTGAAGGGCCCTGAGCATGAAGGCCTTGCCTGAGGGTTGAATGCAGTGGAGCAGCACTGCTCAGTGCTGAGGCATCTGAGAGGCCCTGTGTGTGAGGGGGTGGCAAAGCGAGTGCAGGTGGCAGGTGGCAGATGGTGGGGTGCAGAATGCCAAGTCTAGCTGGGCATGGTGGCGCACGCCTGTAATCCTAGCCACTTGGGAGGCTGAGACAGGAGGATCGCAAGTTCAAAGCCAGCCTCAGCAACTTAGCAAGGCCCTAAGCAACTCAGAGAGACTCTGTCTCTAAATAAAAAATTAAAAGGGCTGGGGATGTGGTTCAGTGGTTAAGCGTCCCTGGGTTCAATGCCTGGTATCAAAACAAAAAGCCAAAACATGTGTGCATGTGCTCACGTGTGCACACACACACACACACACACAAAAAAAAAAAAAAAAAAACCAAACAGAATGCTAAGCCCTTTGACATGAGTGGCATGGGCCACTTGATATGAGTCGTCCTAGTGAATGGTTGTCTGGGGTCCAGGTTCATGGTGTCCCTGACCTGGGTGGACCCAGGTGCTTTGAGGATGGGGACCAAAGGAATCCCAGTGATTCTGCCTCCCTACTCTTCAAGAACAAGTTGGAGGCAGGTCTTGATCTCAAGTCTACAATAACAATTGTTTCTAAAGTTTCTCTCCTCATAGATTTCAGCCCCTCAGCCTGAGACATGTCTCATGGCGACTGAGTCATGCGTCGATGAAGGTGGTGGGCATGTGGGTGGTGGGTGGCTGGGCCCATCGATCCAGGGCTGAGACATTCTTTCCATTAGTCAACAGGTTAATAAATTCTCTGATGAGGAGGTGGTGATTAATGAGCCAATCAGCGTGCCCTGTAATTGGGGAGTGGAGCTGGGGTTATGATGGATGGGAAAGGCTTGTGAGGATGTGGGAGGCAGGCTCCTGATCCACACTGAGGGACCACCTCAGGCCCCACTGGTTTTTACTTTTAAGGTACATGAGGAAGTGACTTCTTCAGAGGTTGTGCAACGAATGTGGGCCTTCTCCTGTGTCCTCTACCTTCTCACTCTTCTCCTTTCCTCCTGTTTGTCCTCAGGCCCTGCAGTCCCCAAGGCTTGAGCAGGTTCCAGGGATGTCAGATTTTCTGTGTGCTCCTTACAAGCTCCTTCACCTCTCTCCTCCAAGTTTAGCACCAAAGAAACCTCCTTCACCACCCTGGCTAGTGCTGCGAGGTCAAAGATCACCCTTACCCCCACACATCCTTGCCCCTTCAGCAGGCGGGTCCCTGTCTAGAGCCTGACCCTGGGGTCACAGCTGTCTTTGGATGTATGTGATGCTGGGGATCTGAACCCAGGACTTTGTACTTCACAGCTGTCTTAACCAGTCCCCTGGCTTTGGTCATTCTATGAAGAACTAGAATTCTTTTATTTCTACTATCTCCTCTCCAATCTGGGCACAGGCTTATCCTTGCATCTGTGCTCTGGGAACTCCTCAGATGGGATTTCGAGGGATAGTTGAGTGCCTTCCCCACCCCAAGACTAGGGCTCCCCAGTGATCAAACTGTGCCCCTCACCTCGGACTGGGGGAACTCAAAGATAAACCCTTGACTCTTCTCTGTCACTAGGGCTCTTGGAGGACAAGGCTGGGCTCCCTAAGAATGATTTTTCTCTTCCCTCTGAAGGTAGGTTCCATTTCCCCTTGTCCCATTGTCTCCTTCCATTTCCATGCTTGGCAAGTGCCCTGGTGTTTCTTGGTTGTAAGGGGCCCTTTGGGCTTGAATAGCTGATAAGGAGCCATTTCCGGAGAGTGCAGGTGACTGAACCCATAAAAAGGCAATTGAGGGATCCCTGGACACTTCCTCTCAGGAGAACTCTAAAAATAGCACCCACAGCCATCTGTCCTGGGGAGTGGAGGGGCTGGCCCAGAATGAGGGGCCTGGACAAAATGACTCCTCTTGCCTCAATGGACTGATGAAAATGGGGTATCTACAAGGCTCTGGCCAGGCCTTGTAGAGGGAGCTGGAAAGAGCTTTATGGGGAGACTCCCTAAGAGACCTTTCTCTTCCTGGGGGTAAGGTGGGTCTGATGGGTTGGCAGTCTGGGTGCTTCCCGGACCTAGACCTCTCAAAGTGGGTGGTGGCCCAGACAGCCTCCTATCTCCTGCTCTCATGCCTGACTCTGGAGCTCAAGGTGCAGAACCTGTTTGCCCTCAGGATTGAGGGGACTTCTTGGGGTCTTCYCCACCCTCTTCCTGTATTACCATCACCTCTCAGAGTTTCAGTTTTCTCACCTGGAAAATGCAGATGAACTCAGTTCATGGTACTGTTATACCAAAAATACTATCCTCTGGGCTGGGGATGTGGCTCAAGCGGTAGCGCGCTCGCCTGGCATGCGTGCGGCCCGGGTTCGATCCTCAGCACCACATACCAACAAAGATGTTGTGTCCGCCGAGAACTAAAAATAAATATTAAAATTATTAAAAAAAAATACTATCCTCCCTAGCACACAGGAGGTGCACAGTTAATGGCAGTCCTTTCTTATTTCCTTCAAAGGCTCTGAGTGAGAATATCGACCCCAAATCCCAGTGAAAGCTATAATGGGATGGGGACAGTGGCATATGCTTGGCAGCTTGACATCACCAGCCAAAGAAAACACCAGGTATCCTGAATGACATGGAGATGGGGTTGGGGGCTCTGCCTTGGGAGGGGGCTCTATGGAGGGCCCAGCTGGACCAGGATCTGTATGTGCCAAGCTGGATGTAGAGGTGGCTCATTCAGCTGTTTCTGCCTCCTACCTCTGTCCCCAACTCTTAATTCAGAATGGATATAATGGAATATCCAGAGAGGCCTCTCCCCAAGAACATCATAAGCAGCAGGTCAGGAGCGACGGTCATAAGCTCCTACCCTGACTCCAGAAGAGACTTTCCCCCACAGGGTCCTGTCACTCCTGGACCCTTATCAAAGGCATTAGCAAGCAGAAGCTGAAGATAAAGGCCTCCTGGAAGGAGCAGCCACGGGTTCCACAGGCTGGAGGAGGCCTGTCCTCCCTCAGGTTCCCCACTCCCACCTAAGGACAGGGTAGGGAAGATGGACTCACATCCTTGGTCCTAGGGGCTACCCCAGGAGTCTAGATCTGAAGGCCTCATATCTTTAGGGGGCTAGACCTGCCACTGGGGGGCTGTGGGATGAAAACAGGGTTTAGAAGAGGCCACCAGTCCGGTGGGACCCTGAGTCTGAGCATGGCAGCTGCCTCCTTAGCTCCTGCGAGGTGGAGACATCACGTCCTGGCTGGCTGTAAACTCTGCGAGTGGCAGGGGTGGAGGAAAGAAGGAGGAAGGGCCCTCCCCTGCCTGCTCCCCCTCCCCTTGAACTCCCCCTCCCTTTCCAGGCCGATATAAGCCCCGCGGGGAAAGCGCTGAGCAGAGGCCGCATCTCCACCTACAGCAGTCCTGTCCTTGGGACTGCCTGCACCTTCCATCTCCTGCTCATCTCGCCTTGGGAGCTATCGCTGTGAGTGGCTGGGGATCAGGAATGGTCTGGTAGTGAGTTATTTTGTGGGGAAACTGAGGCCAGGGTGGTGGAAGCTGGGGCTGAGTGGTTGGAAGGGGGCCAACAGAGGTGGGAAGGAGGGTCTGGGAATCGGCTGCCAGCAGAGATCTCTTCCTTCCTCTATCACTTGGGCAGCAGCGGGAGTGGGGAGGCAGACGGGACTTATGACTCTGGCACAGGAGGAAACTGAGGCCAGAGACGGTCCGGTGCCCGAGAACACAGAGAGAGTGGCTGAACCCTAGCCCAGTAGGGCCACCGGAGCGTGGGCCCGACGGCAACCACTGCCGCAGCCTCCCACGGTCGAGGCTCAGGATGCCCCACGCTCCAATGCTCCCTTTCCAGATGGTGACCGTGTGCAGGCCGTCGCCCGCTACGGTCGCAGTGCTGCTGGCCCTCCTCGCCTGCTTGGGAGCGCTGGTCGACGCCTACCCCGCCAAACCCGAGGCCCCGGGGGAAGATGCCTCCCCGGAGGAGCTGAGCCGCTACTACGCCTCCCTGCGCCACTACCTCAACCTGGTCACCCGGCAGCGGTGAGCGCTCGCGCCGGGCGTGGCCGTGGGCGTGGGGGCAGCGCCTCTGGGACTCCGCCCTTCGCCCCGCCCCACTCCACCCGGGGCCTAACCACGCCCCTTGTGACCCCGCCCCCAGGTACGGGAAACGCGACAGCTCGGACGCACTTTTCTCCAAGCTGCTGTTCCCCGACGGCGATGACCGCCCGGTCAGGTCGCGGTAAAAGCGTTCCTCTTACCACACACGGGCCCCTGGAGCATGGCCCGGCCCACCGGACCTCGCCCTGGCACCCTCACTTAAGACTTGCCCCGGCCTCGGCCTCCAGACGCGATTCCTTCCCATTCCCTCCTGTGGGCCAGAGGAGCCTACCCGTGCAGAAGACCCCAAGGCCTCCGGGGAGCTCTGCTAACTACACACACATCATGTGCATATTTGGTTCTGGGTAGGGCCCTCCGACCACTTCTCTGTGCCCCCGGTATCGGGGCCTGAGGGCTGTGTGTGGTCCTTCCCTTGTCCCCAAATAAAGAGCAAATTTCACAGAAACTGAATGTGTGCGTCTGTTTCCTTTCCCTTCTCCTTCAAGGAGGTGGCCTTAGTAGGAGAAGAGAGTGGAGGTGCAAGATCAGGGAGAAGACTCGGAGCCCAAGAAAAAGGCGCCCCAGGACGAGGCTGGGGTGGGGTGGGGTTCCCTGTGCTAGTAGCTGAGCATAGATAGTCACTGCTGCTATTCTGGGGCTGGACAGCGCCCAGACAAGTGACCTCTGTGAGAGGAACTCCAGGCAAGGGGGGCATGGGAGAGGGGTGGATAGGAGCTCCAGAGAAAAGAACAAGAAGAGTCGCTGGAGACGGAGAGGTGGAGAGGAACATGCTAGGCAGCCTAGGAGGGTAACCTGGGACATAGAAACCTCGCAGGGCAAAGATGAAGACTGGTATAGGGCCGGGCAAGATACCAACACTCTAGGATTGTCCCCCTGCTCCCCCCAAAAGTGTACTACTAGTCTCCGGGGCTGCAAAGTCTGGAGGTTAAGATGGGATCAAGGATGGGGGTGGGGAGGAAGAACCATTTGTGGGGTGAGGTGGGTGTGCCAGCTGTAGAGGTAGATAGAGAGCTCGAGAGCACGCCTGTAAATCTAGCGGCTCAGGAGGCTGAGGCAGGAGGGTTGTACTTCACACCAGCCTCAGCAATTTAGCGAGGCCCTAAACAACTCGGAGAAACCCAGTCTCAAAATAAAATTAAAAGGGCTGGGGGTGCTGGGCCTGTGGCTCAGTGGGAGAGTGCTTGCCTAGCATGTGTGAGGCCCAGGATTCGATTCTCAGCACCACATAGAAATAAATAAATAATAAAGGTCCATTGACAACTAAAAAAATATTTTTAAAAAGGCGGGGGTGGGGCGGGGACTGGGGTTGTGGCTCAGTGGTAGAGCACTCCTCTTGCATGTGCAAGGCCCTGGGTTCCATCCTTTGCACCACATAAAAATAAATAAATAAAATAAAGTTATTTTTAAAAAAAGGCGGGGGGGGGGTCGCTGAGGATGTGAGGATGTAGCTCAGTGGTAAAACACCCCTGAGTTCAATCCCCTGTACTCCCTCCCCACAAAGAAAATCACTTCTAAGGAACCTGTCACCTGAGTAGAAGGAACAATGAGAGTGTGGAGGTTACTTTTTCCCTCAAAACCCTCCTCCCCACTTTGTTGAATGCACACACAGTGCATGAGTCACTAACTGTGCCTTCCTGGTGACAAGACTATAGGGATACCTTCCAGTCCCCTCCACCCCATGGGTGTTTCAACTGGACGATAACCTGATCCCCAGACACCCTTCCTTCTCAATTCATTCTCCCAGGAAGCCTGCCTTGGTTGGCCCTGACCTGTACTCTCTCTCTCCTCTCTGGTCACTGAACTCTCATGGCTACTGCTCTGTTCACTAAGAGACCTACCCATGTCTCTGTGTCCTCCCCGCACCCCACCTCTATGGTCTGAGGGCCCCCTAAAGGAAGGGCCTGTCTGTGGACTTTCTCCTGAACCTCCAGTTCAGCAGGACCTGCCTAAGTCCGAGGCAGGTGGCTGAGGGATGAGAGGGAGAATCAGGCTGAAGACAAGTGTCCAGACCCAGACAGGGTAAGAAAGGCAGGAAGGCTGGGTGGCATTACCGGGGCATAAGGGCCTTGCAGACCTGTTTGCAGACAGGTGACCCTGGGAGGTGAGAAGACTCTAGACCTGGCTCTGCTCTGACACAACCTGCACTAGGGGGCCACCCTCCCTGGTGCTGTCCCCCAGCCTTTCTTGAGGTAGGGCCAGCAGTGTGGGACAGAGGACGCTGGTCCAGGGGCTGGAATAGGCCTTGGACTGTATGGATTCTGATGCTCTGGGCCTTTGCCCAGGCCAGTTGCCCTGCAGGGAAAGCCCTTTCCTTCTCTTTAGCCTAAAATACACCTTCGGGTAGACGTTGCCTCCCAGAAGCCATTCTTGTTTCTCAGGATGGAGTTTGTCTCTCTGGCTTCTCCATTTTGCCATTTCCTGAGGTCCATTCCCATCCTACTTCGTTTCCTGTCTTTTCTCCTCTGTACCAGCCGGGGCAGATGGGCACGTGCAGTGGCGGCTTGAGCTTAGGTTCATGTGTAGTTGAAGATCCAGGGGAGTTGGGGGGACGTATCTGTGTGTAGGTGTCCATGATCCTCTGTCTATTGGTCTATCTGGGAGAGCTGTGGTAAGTTTGAGGCTAATGGAAGAGAACTGGTATGAATTATATTCATAGCTGCAGACAGTTTCTGCTCAGATAAGTCGGTTGACCACAGTACCTACACATGGCCTCTCTAACATGAGGCTTTCCGAGTAGTTGAACCTGTGTGAGTGCTCCATGATTGCCTTTTCAAACAATAGTCCCCTCTGTCTTCAGGGATAGGTATCAAAACTCCCAGTGGATGTCTGAAACCACTGATAGTACTGACAATCAAGTGTGTACATTGTTATTTCCAGTACATACATGCCTATGATAAAGTTTAATTTATAAATTATGCACAACAAGAGATTAAAAACACTAAGATAGAATAATTATAATAGTATTCTATAATAAAAGTTATGTAAATGTGGGTCTTTGTCTCTGAAAATAGCTTATTGGACTGTACTAATTCTGCTTGTGACCATGTGAGATGGGAGATGCCCATGTAATCAGGTGAAGTGGGTGGATGATGTAGGCACTGTGTGGCAGCTTTAGGCTACTACATAAGGGTTACTTGGACAGAAGTGCTCTGATGCCTCTATAGCCTCTCTGATAACCCAGAGAGCTACTGAGTGACTAACAGGCAGTGTACACTACTTGGATATGCTGCATAAAGGGATGATTCACATCCTGGGCAAGATGGAGGTGCACAGTATAAGATTTTGTCAGGCTACTCAGAATGGCATGCAATCTAAGATGGATGAATTGCTTATTTCTGGAAATTTCCATTTAATATTTTTGGAACTTGATTGACTGTAGATCACAGAAACCACAGAAAACAAGATAAGTGTGGGGGTCTACTGTATTAGTTTCATAGAACTGACATAAAAAACCAAACGGGAGGGTGAGGGAGGTAGTTCAGTAGTAGAGCCCTGGCCTGGCATATGCAAGGTCCTCATTCCATCCCCAGCACAATAAGTCAAACAAAACAAGAGAACTGGGGTATTTAAAGGACTAGGGGCTAAATGTCTGAAATCAAGCTGTTACGCTAGCAGGGTTGATTCCTTTGGTGAAGAAGGGGGCAAGGATCTGTTCCAGGCGTCTCTTCTGGGCTCGAAGTTCCTCTATGCATACCTGTTTCTGTGTCCAAATTTCACTCTTTTTAAAAGGACACCACCTATATTGGATTAGGGGCAGATGGAGTTTCTAGGGTAGAGGGAATTGTTGACAGGGTCTAGACTTCAAATTAGTGTCCTGAGCCTCAAATCAGGATAAAGTAGCTCCTGGGGGAGTAGGATGAGGGGTTTAAGATGTTTGTGTGAATTTCTCAGCTATCCTTAGCCCAAGGGCTTCTCCAGGGGTTAGGGGATCCCATGGGTACCGGAATCTGAGGTGATTCTGACAGGGTACCCAACCTACACCCTGCTGCTGCCACACAATTTGGAAATAAGACATTGGCCTAAGAGTTGGACCAGGCTCTGGTCAGCAGAAGTGTCCTGGTAATCTGGATAGAGAGAGTGTAGCCTCTGGCACCACGGGGACCTGGGTTTAGTCCTGATCCCTCCTGCAGTCTTAGGCCACCTCAACTGCTTCTYTGAGCCTTGGTTTCCTGCCTCCTTCACCAGGTAATAAAGGAGCCTATTAAGATGACCTGTAAGAAAGGTCTTGGGGGAGGTGCTGGCTCACTGGCTGCCACAGCCAGCTCCTCTCCTTTTCTGACAATGTCCTCATGTTTCAAACAAAACAAAACAAAACAAAACAAAACAAAACAACAGCAACCCAACCCCCACCTACTTTCTTGCCTCTGAGCTCCTTGCAGATACCTCTCTCCTCCCCTTCYTCCTGCTCTGGGCCCAGGAATAGATTTACCAAAAATGACTGATATTTGGCTGGGTAACTGAGAGCACCAGAGACTGAGGTTAGAGRGCCCCGAAAAGGGGTGATAGAGGACATGGCCAGACTCCTTCCCTGGGGGCCACAACTCTGAGACCTCTTCCCTTTGTTCCTTCACCTGCCTTCATTCGCCCTGAGATCCCTGAGGTGTTCCTCTCCTGGTCTCATCATCACAGCACTCCCTCCGTCCCCCACACTGCTCCCGGGTTATTCTCCCTGCTCAGAGGACAAGGGGTTGGGCAGTGGGAAAGGGGGCCACTGGGTCTTCATCCTGTCTTTGCAGGGGAGTGTTGGGTGGCTTCCCAAGAGGCTCCATGCAAGCTCTGTGGGAACACACTCGAAGACAAGCTTTCTCTATTCTGGATATGACCATGCTATTACAGCCACTGTCCCTTCCTCCTGGATTGTCACGACATCCCTGAGGGGACCTTGTAATCTATTGTTTGCAAAGGAGAAAAAGGAAAGCTTGGTGGACATTTGTGGAGAGCTATTATTTCTTTTTTTTTTTTAAATATTTTTTTATTTTTTTAGTTCTTGGCGGACACAACATCTTTGTTGGTATGTGGTGCTGAGGCTCGAGCCCGGGCCGCACGCATGCCAGGTGAGCGCGCTACCGCTTGAGCCACATCCCCAGCCCAGTATTATTTCTAACAAAGCTGGTTACATCTGTGACAGGACAGAATTATGAATGGCCTGGTCACCACAGTCAATCCCCAGATCCACTGGCTTCTGACATGGTGAGTGGCCAGAACAGGTCCCACCAGACTACTGGCCTGAGGGAGCCCAGACCCTTTCAACCAGGGCTGGGGCCCAGCACCCCCTGGTGGTGTGCAGCAGTCTCTACCCTTCAAAGGCAGTGTCTGGGACCCATTGACTATCCTTGTTTTGTGAAGTGGAAAACCCAGGCTAGAGGAGGGTGCAGGCTTGCTGAGGTGGAA